TGGGGCGCGACCCGTGTGCGTCAGGGTGCCCCCGCACGGGGACAGCTTGCAAGCCCGTGTACACCAGGTCGATGAGTGGTTTCGGGTCCAGCTGGAGTATGTGGAGCGAGACGCGTGGTCGAGGCTGATTAGGGTCGTCCCTGGTGGCTGCTTCCGTGTCGTAGTGCTGTTTGGCCCATGCTCGCGCCGCTTCTGGCGAGTATAGCGCCTGCGGTGGTGGCCATGCTGCCGCGATGGTTGATCTGCGCCTGGTGCTAGCTTCCTGGTCGTGAGCTTCAGCCGCCTCACGGAGATCTGGATGATCGTAGCCAGCAATGCGGAGGGCGTGTGCGCAGTCACCCATGCCATAGGCGTGTGGAAGGGCACGGCACCTGGAAGCAGCTTCTGTGGGGGCACACCAGTCCATGCGGATGAGGAGGCTCAGGACCCGAGGGTAAATGAGGCGCGCTCCGTGGGCCTCCCCTTTCACGTAGTTGTGCCTGTTTTCCCCGCGCGGTGGTTGGGTGGCCTCGCACATCCAGAGTGCGATGGGTCCCCACGCGAGGGTGTCGTCTTCGAGACTGTAGGGCGGGTGGGGCGGTATCGCGTACCACGCGGCCAGCGAAGGGTGCACGCTCACGTACGTGCGGCCAACGTTGGTGCCAGTTCGACCCTTCGTTTCACGGCGGGGGCCTGGCAAGAGGTGCCCTCCACAGGCAGCAAGACGGGCCGCAAGGTCGCCGCGGGTCCCATGCCAGAAAACAGTGGGCGCGTCGGTGGTGGGTTGACGGAGGTCCCACGTGAGGTATGGGAAAATTGTCTCGCCCGAGTTGCCGCCCGAGTCTTCCAGCACCCAAGTGAGGCGGTTCGGTGGCCTCTGCATGATGTCCGTCCACGGCCCCAGCACTTGGAGTGTTGGGTCGTGAGTGAATCGAGGGTGGTCGTGGAGTCGTAGAGCGTCTTTGATGTCCTCAGTGGACACGCCACTGTTCCCTAGCGCGAAGCCGTTTTGGTACAGGGCGTTAAGTATGCTCTTCGGCGGCTCGGGGACCGCTGGGTCACGCTGGATGGTGTTGCGTGAGTTGCGTGTCGGTGGCTTGAGGGCAGTGTAAGGCGTACCAGGGCCTGAAGGCGCCTGGGGCCTGTCAGGTGATGCATAGCGTGCTCGCCGTCGTGGTGGTTGGGTGTCCGCGTCGGGGGAGGGGGAGGAACCACGAGCGTCAGCATGTCGGAAGATGGACCACGGGCTGCCATGGGTGCGTTCCCTCGTTTCCCTTGGCTCGGTGTCGCTGCCGTGTGCTGTGGCATCCTCGTTGGTCGGTAGGTTACCGAATGTCGTGCCGTTCTTGGAGCCGTCTCGTGGCGTCGGGCTGGTCGATCTTGGTGTGACAGACGAGGCTCGCGATACGGCGGCTGTGACTTCAGCGATGGCGGCGGTGGTGGCGGTGGTGACGTCGGCGACTGCGGCGGCAACAGCTGCGGCGTAGTGTTCCTGTAGCAGCGGATGTCGGAGTGCGTGCACCTGCTGGTCGTCGTGTTCGTCGGCGAGCGTGCACGGCATTTTGTGTGTGGCCTCGTCCTTCGGCCTCCTGCTCGGTTGGCAACAGCGGAGGCACCAGTGGGCAGTGGATGAGTCCAGGGCCCGCGCACATATGCGGGCGCCTACGTGTCCGACAGCTCCCTGGGCAAGGAGTTTGGCACCGACGAGTAGAAGACCACACACAACTCCACCCGTGGCTATGGCCCCTAGCTTGCCGCTGGCCCATTTAAGGACGCCCCCGAAGCCGCTCCCGACTGCAGTGGCTCCACCCGAGACACCATCTCTGAGTTTGTCGCTGGTCCATTTGAGAGTGGCCCTCAATGTGGACGTGACATAGTATGTCGTTTTGCGTCGGAATATAGTGGACGCCGATGGGCCTGGTGCGGTCGCTTGGCGTCGTCGTCGTTGTCGGTAGCTGGGGTCTCGGCTCGGGGTCGGCAAGTATCCATCGATCTGGTCCTTGTACGGCATTGCTATCGCGATGGCGTACGTGGCCACCAGGAGGCAGATGAGGCAGCCACAATGTCGTGATGCCGCTGAGCTGTGCTGGGGCTCGTGGGGACCGCTGGCATCTGGGTGTTCATCATCGATGGGGTCGTTGTCGATGTCGGCCTGCCAGTGGTCGATGGCACTGGGGTTGGAGTCAGTCACGTTGTCACCTCCTGCGGTCTGGGGATGTCCAGGTCTAGCCAGTGGTGCAGCGGGGCTGAAGCCGCCACTGCACGGCCTGGCATGAGCTGGCGAAGCAGTGGAATGGCTAGTCACATCAGCGGCAGTGACGCCTTCAGCGTCGTTAGGCCGCGCAGAAGGGTCGGCCTGATCTGAGGTGTGGGGCGCACTGCGTTGCCACGGGGCGAGACCAGAGTGAGGCTCACTGTCGCGGTCACGCTGAGCCGAGTCGCCTGATGGTATCGTGCCGTCTCGATCCTGGATATCGATGTCGTCCTGGCTATCCTCCGACGCGTGGAACGAGTCCATGGAAGTATTGCCGATATCGCTGGCCGCGATGTGCTGGAGCAGCCATGATACGGGATCTTCTGCGGCCTGATCGGTGCCGTCCGTCGGCGCCGCAGCGAGCTCCGCCTCGACGAGCGGCAGCATGTCTGGCGGTTGGTGCAGGATAACATCAGCGAGGTACGCCATGGCGTCATGGTCGGGTGGAGGGAGACCTCTTGGCAGCAGAGCATGGGCCCGTGAGAGGTATGGCGGCAAAGGTGCCATGAAAGCCTCAGGGCCAACGAGCGTGGCACGAGCGCCCTGGTACTCCAGAAGGAGGCCGAAATAGCGGGTGGCGTACTCGCGGCTGCTCTGGATCCGAGTGAGGTTGCGGTTGATGCGCTGCCTGTCGGGGCCCGCTCTGTGCCAGATGTCCTCGCACATGTCGACCGCGGTGCGATGACGCAGGGCGTCGGTGGTGTCCTCGGACGCCTCAAGGAAGAGGTGATCGTACTGTGGCAGATGGAGCGTCGCCAGGATGTACGGGACGCAGTCCTCGAGCCATGCCCAGAACATGTCCTGGTTATCCTCACCTGGTGCCCACGCCGCAGCACACGGTATGAGCCTGGCGCGGATCATCATCAGGTGCCAGAAAGCAGGGTCTTCCTCGGGTTCGCCCCTATCTCGCATGGGAGTGGTGGGACCCGTAGGGCAATAGCGGGGCACAACAGCGGGGCTGAAGCCGCCACTGTGTGCCTGGCCAATACTGCACGGACTCGCGGCAGCGGTGCCGTAGACGATCGGGTCCAAGATGGTGCAGTGATCGTGCTTGTAGATGCTGTCATCGTAGAGGTAGAAAAGGGACGCACGTTCGACGTGCTGCAGAAGAAACCCACCTCCATGCTGGGGCGCACCGCCTGAAGACGGGTGTGCTCCAGCGAGCGAGGGGAGGGCCAGGCTGAAAGCAAAGCGCCACATGATGGCGAGGCCTGGCAGGCGGCGCGAGCGATGAGCCAAAAGCTGCATGTCAGCACGCATCTTTAGGTACCCCTGCATGCTCATGTACATTGCAACAAACACACCCACAGCAAGATGACAGGTGTCCCAACACCAGGTAGCTTGCTCGTGCTGCTGCAAAAGATGACATGATATAGCAAGGAGGATGTACGACGAGAAGTGAGAAGGGATGCCTCTGAAGGCGCTTCCTCGGAGGGCTGAGGCGGGCCCTCTGAGGCACCTTCAATAGGGTTCCTGTGTGGCCCGCCCTTTGTCTTTGCCTTTGTCAGCCCCTGGGGGCCCCGTCCCTGGGGTGACCTGGCCTGGCTGGTCGATCCACCCGCAGACAGCCACGGGCTCGGCAACTGGTGCAGCTTCCTCCTTTTTGGTATCGAGGGTGGCCACCTGGGGCAGGTGGATGGTACCCCCCGTGAGGTGCCCGAGGAGGGCCTGGATGTCGCCGCGCAGTGCAGCAGCTTCGGTAGTTGCCGTCTGTTGCTGAGTGACGACGGTGGCAAGCCCTCGTTCCAAGCCTGTAACGTGCTCCGTGAGTGTGGCATGGGATGAGAGAACGCCCGCAAGCTGGACCTGCATGTTGTCCACCGTGTTGGCAAGCAGCTCGTGCTGTTGTTCCATGTGTTGGATGCGGGTCGTAGCGGCATCTGACAGTTTAGGGGCCGTAGCGAAGCGTTCGCCGAGGGTGTTCGGTTCGCGCGATGCCACGCTGAATTCGTCCTCTGATGAGAGGATCTCGACGTCGCCTGGTGCCTCGGCGGCTGCGTCAACGTGCCCTTCCGTGTGGCCCCCACCTTCGGCCGCCCCCGTGCCAGGTTGCGGGTCATGCCCGTCCCCACCTGTTCCTTGGACGGCCGTCTGCTCGGCAGCTCCATCCGTGCCGTGCGGGGGAGCAGAGGAGCTGCGGCCTGGAGCGCCGTGTGATCTTGCGTGCGGCGTGGCGTCACGTTTCCCGCTGGAGGATCGGTGGCGCTTGGCTAAAGGCTCCTCCTTAGGGATCGGGAGCGGTGCGACGCCCTTGCCTTTGGGCGTGGCAGTCATGAGGTCGTGGAGGTAGGGGCTCTGGCCGCTTTGGTTAGGAGTGTGCCCGTGGCGGGGCTGAAGCCGCCACCACGGGCGGGCGGCGTCACAGGCTCTGTGATAGTGGTAGGGGTGACAATGGTAACGTTGTCCCTCTTCGGCACGACCTCAGCCAACGGGGCCTCGGTGATGCTCCACGGGATGGGGCACCCTGCGACCTGTACCGTGTATGTGGGTGGGGGACGATGAGCGCGCACTAAGGCAAACTGCGCCGAAGTGGCTGGGTCCCAGGCGGTGTGGTAGACCTCACAGTCCCATTTGACGGACGGGCCCGTGAGAGTCTTGGCAAGCTGAGTCAGCGTGGCATGGCGTGCCGCAATGCCCGTGATGCGGTATCGCGTCTTGGCGAGAGTGGCTTCGCAGCCACGGATGCTGACGGCAGCGGCCTTGGCGGCGTCTGACCCACGTGCAACACGGATCCCCAATAAGCCTGACTTGCCGTGCCTGACGACTCCTAGGGCTTTGAAGTCCACCGACTTCTGGAACGCCTCTGCCATCGTGATGGGCTGGTCCTCGGGGAACCACACGGTCTGGTACTTGTCTGCCGTGGGCTCGTCCGCACCTACGTTGCTGAGGTCGTAGGTGGCGCCGAGTTGCCCCGAACCCGCCAAGACCTTGTCAACTGCTTGAAGACTGACGCCGAAAGTGGCAGCCAGGGACCTTTTTCCGACGCCAGATCCGTACCTGCCTAGACTTTTGCAGGGTTCGAGGATAGTGACGGCTTTAAAGTTGCCGTGGAAAAGGGCCTTGAAGGTGTCCTGCAGCTGACTGTCGAGCTCCTGGCGGCGAGCGTCTTTCTTAGACTCCCTGTGCTTTTGGTTTTGGCGCGCCTTGTCCTGTGGAGCGGAATCCCCTCGGAAAGGACCCTTGGCGCGTGGACCACCGTTCACGGGGGCGCCTCCCGAAAACTGATCCTCGAAGGCCTGATGCATGGAGGGGACTGCGGCGATGGCTTCGGTTTCATGTATGGTCACCCGAATCCAGCATACGTGGTCGGCAGGATCAATGGTGGCGACGGCTACTTTTTCCGTGCAGGCGACTTCCTTGGTGCCCAGCTGGTACACGGTCACGGGGACGTGCGTGTGAACCACATTGGGCGCCTTGGGGTGGCGCTTCAGCACGGGGACGGCGAGCTCGGTGCCGACGTAGTTGTCGTTTTTTGGGCCCCTGACAGCGATCGCGAGCTGACCCGTGGTACGCTTACCCTGCTCGAGATGGTGCTGCAGCAGCCGCTCGCCACTCTCGTAGTCGTGGAGGCTGATGCTGGGCTTGTACGTCTTGCCGTCGTCGAGTGATGTGGGTTCGGCCAGGACTGGGACCTTCCAGAAGGCCGGGTCCAAGGCAATAAAATAATTTTGGCGTCCGCAGCCTGAAGACGTGCGGACGCAGCTGGTGGATAGGATGTGTCACCACCATTGCGCTTAGGCTTGCTGCGCTGGTGGTGATCCAGCGTGTAGCTGATCTGGTTGGCGGCACACATGCGAATCAAGGCACTGCCGAGCTTCTTGGTGTTGGTCTTGTGCATGTCGTACGTGGCCTGCAGCTCGTCCGCGTTCAGCTCGGCGAGCCCGTTGTATGCGGCTGTGGGGCGGTCAGACCCCGCTTGCTTGAAGGCTGCAATGCAGTCCTGTTTACGTTGGAGGAGGGATCCTTCAGCTGCAGGACGTGAGCTCGGCGGCTGCTTGGAAGAGCGACGGCGCTCCGGCTTGGCGGGGGCCATTGCGGCGGGCGCTCTGGTGGGAAGGGAGGAGGTGACGCAAATCTGTACCGCGCTGCTGGCGCGGTTCCGGTCTCGCGAGGCCTGGAGTCGGGACTCCAGGCGGGGCGCTTCGCGTCGCGGCTACGCTATGAGTGCAGGGCACTCTCGAGCCGAGACTAGAGAGAGAGAGAGAGAGAGAGAGAGAGAGAGAGAGAGAGAGAGAGAGAGAGAGAGAGAGAGAGAGAGAGAGAGAGAGAGAGAGAGAGAGAGAGAGAGAGAGAGAGAGAGAGAGAGAGAGAGAGAGAAGAGAGGGTGACAAAAAGGAGGGGGGAAGAGAGAGATGAGAGAGATGAGAGGGGAGGGGGAAGTGGGTGGGAAGAGAGAGAGAGAGAGAAGAGAGAGGGAGAGTGAGAGAGAGAGAGGGATGGCACAGGGAGAGGAGAGAGAGTGAGGAGAAAGAGAGAGAGAGAGAGAAGATGTGACTAGAGAGAGAAGGCGAGAGAGAGAGAGAGAGAGGGAGAGGAGACAGAGAGAGAGAGAGAGAGCGTGAGTGGGAAAAGAAAAGGGGGGGGGGGGGGGGGAATAAGAGAGAGAGATGAGAGGAGAGAGATGAGAGAGAGAGACTGAGAGAGAAGAGATGAGAGAGAGAGAGAGAGAGAGAGAGAGAGAAAAAAAAACAAAAGAGGGGGGATAAGAGAGAGAGAGGAGAGAGAGAGGACGTAGATGAGAGAGAGAGAGAGAGAGAGAAACAAAAAAACAAGAGAGAGAGAGAGAGTGGGGGAGAGAGAGGGAGAGAGAGAGAGAGAGAGAGAAAGAGAGTGTGAGAGAGAGGGATAAAGAGAGGCACATCAAAGAGATAGATGGAGAGGGAGAGAAAGAGAGAGAGAGAGAGGAAAACAAAATGAAAAAAGAGAGAGAGAGAGAGAGAGAGAGAGAGAGAGAGAGAGAGAAAGAGAGATCGGACAAATAGGCGGACCAGGGTCCGTCCGCGAGGCGCACTGCGGTGCGACAACTCGCATGCACTATTTGCGGCGGTGCAGCCTTTAGATACGAGGGCGGGCAACAAAAACCCCCTCCCCCGGCGCAGTGCGACAGACGCTACAGACGGCGGACAGACGATGATGATCTCACCTGTCAGACCGCGTGAGGAAAAGGCCCCAACAAGAAAGGCGACGTGCTGGCACGTGGCTAGGCGGCTTGGCAGACCGCCTGTTGGGCGCTTGGCCGCTAAGCGGCGCGCAGTGACGGGGCACCCCCCGCCCCCACGCCCTGACACCGTGGACGCGGAGCCACGCGTACACACGGGCAGGCAGAAAGGAGGAGATTAGCGCGGGGCACCGGGTGGAGCGCCGCGGAACGATGACAACATAGCTTGGATGTTGAGTGACGGCACGGCACCATCGGGCGAGGCCGTGAGCAGCTCGGCGAAGGCTCGCCCAGCACTGTGGAGGCGCTGGAGTAGAGGGCCTTGACGAGCTTGGGCGGCGGCGAGGTCCGCGGCGAGAGCTAAGCACCTCTGCTGGAGGGCAGCCATAGCCTGTGACAGCTCGGTTTCGCGGTCGGTGAGGGGTGGCTGCTCAGTGCCAGCAGCCGAGGGCCTCGAGACAGAGGCGAGGTCCTCGGTACGCCTGTCCAAATGGTGGACTAGCGTAGTGCGGGACCCTGTACGCTGACGTCCGTCACCCTTGAAGGGTGACTGGAGGGGCCGGCGCGACCCCAGGGCTGGAGCCGCTAGGGCCGCGCCCCGAGAGGTCAGGGGAGCCGCTTCCTCTCGCTCAGCAACGAAGGAAGCGTGGATGGGGCACGAGGGCCTGTCTGGTTTAGTACCCTGCGGGGGGGCTGAAGCCGCCCCCGCGGGCTGCCGGCGGTGGGGAGGCGGAGTGGTTTGCGCGGTGGGACCAGTCGTGATGCCGTGCAAGGCCGCTGAGGTCGGTCGCGTAGAAGGTTGGCGTCTCGGTGGGGCGGCATGGTCGGCAGCGTGTGGTATCGGCGGTGCGTCCTCAATGCCACTCAGTCCTCGGGGGTCGCCCAGGTCATGGTCGGCGTCTTGGCGGTGGCCGATATCATCGTATGTGGGCGTTATCGCTCTTGGGGACGGAGTCGCAGTAGGGGTCGAGAGGTTTCCCGACGGGGCGGGGTTTTCGCTGGCTGGTCCGTCGTCCAAAGCGTCCGATCCCCCACCGAAGCTGAACAGGTCATCGTCCTGCTCATCAGCGTCTTGAAAAGGAACGGCGTTGTCATGTGGGTGCGCTGCCGCTCTCAATGGCGGAGTCGGGGGCGCCGTGCGGGTACCCGACGGGGCAGGGTTGGCGCTGGCTGGCCCGTCGCCCAGGAAGTCCAGGCCTCCACCAAAGCCGAACGGGTCGTCCTCCTGTTCGTCGAATAACACCCGTTGGGCCTCGGCCCAGAGCTCGTCGGGGTTTTGTGGGATGTCTGGTCCAGCCGCGGGTGGTGCCTGGTCAGACAGCAGGGGATTTGGTTCCATTTTGTTTAGTTCCGCAGCTGTGAACCCAGCCCTGCGGTGTGGGAGGGGGAGTGTACGGTGTCTACGCTCGTAGATGGCGACAGCGACTCCATGAAGCACGGTCGCTTGGCGATGTCGTGATTTGGCAGCTTCGACAATGTCGTCTGGAAGGTTATGAGTACGTGCCGCCGTTGTGGCGAGGGCGTCAGCCTGACGATTGAACTCCTCCGCGATGGGCCCGATGAGCCCGAGGTCGATGCCCATGTCGCCCTGGTGGCTAGCGACTTTCTCGACGCGGAACATGTTGGGCTTGGCCATGACACATCGGTGGACCTTTTCCCAGAGCTCCACGTGCGTGCCCTGCGGTGGTGAGTGTCCGTCGATGATCCTTTGGAAACCGTCAACCACCGCCTGGTTGTCCACGAAGACGTGTACGGGCCGTTCAGCACATGCCGTGAGGTGGACAATGGCGAGGGTCTCCGCAAGCTGTGCGTTCTGCGTAATGCCGTGAACGCGTGCACTGTAGTTCATGCGGTGGTCGATGCCGTAGTAGACGCCGTAGCCCGCTCGTGCTAGCAATGGGATGGCTTGGTTGGTGCATGCACCGTCCGTGGCAGCGTAGACCCATGTCCAACCAGTGTCGTGGTCAAGGTAGGTGGTGTAGGAGTCCTGGGCTGAAGCCGCAGGATCTCCCTCAGGTGGGGGCCGCGGTATGGGCTGAGGTAGCGGGTCCCTCGCGAGGTCGGCCTGCAGATCGAGGAGGGCTGGGTCTTCATCGAAGAGCCCGCAGTGTCTTGTGTGCGGTGGAAGACGGGCCCACTGCTCGTCACTGATGAGGGTGGTAAGAGGGACTCTTTCTCGGGCCCAGCACTTGCAGTCGCGAACAGTGTGCTCCTGAGTTTCCTCTTCCTCGTCGCAGTAACGGCAGATGGGGCTGGGGTCAGCGGACGTGTTTGATCGAGATCGTCGCTGTTGGGTGTGGTCCCCGCCCGACAGGTAGTTGAGGAGGAGCGCCAGCTGCCATGCGTTGCATTTGGCTGCTCCTTTCGTGCGGGCGAGCCACGTGCTGGCGAAAAGGTCGAGGCCCTGTCTGACAGAAGCCAGGTGTCCAAGGTCATGACGCCGTGGCTTGATTTTTCTCAGAAAGGCTCTGCGTTGTGAGGCGCGCAGCATGTGAAGGAAGGCGTTTTGGGGAAGGTTCAGCCAACTGATCTGACAGCCCCAGTCGTCGTACATGATGCCAAATGTGGGCCAGGTCCAACGGAGCTGCTGAAGCGTCTGGACAAGTCGTCCAACAGGTCCTCCCCCGAAAAGGGTCTGGACATGGTGTTGGAGATCCCTGGCGAGAC